AAAAATTCATAACTTCTTCATCCGACATCCGTTTTCGTCTGTCTTTTTACCGTTGTACTACTATTGACGAGACATTCGATTCCCGTTTAGGTTGTGTCTGCTAAAAATCACTCGATCTTTATTTCGAGTTTTTAGCTGTATACTGCTATACCGAAATTTAGAAAAATCATAACTTCCTCATACGAGTCAGATTTTGACGTTCTTTTTATGAAAATTCTCGGTTTAACGAATACTACGACTTTCATTTAGATTACTAAAACTAAAAAGTAGTTTATTGAAAGTTCACTTTTACGTTAAATAGTGTTTTGCCGGTTTTGTCGCGGATCTTCGATTGGTCATAAATTCTTCCTTATAACTCGGATTTCGATGAGGCTTTCGCCTAAATGTTTATAACGAGATAATCTACAACTTTCAATAACATTATTTTTATTTATTTCCAACTTTATATTTTCGTTAATTTCGATAGTTGACTTTTGATTGGAATCTCATAAGACTTCCAATATTTTCCGAATGATTCTAAACATAGTTTTACTTTAATTCTTCATAAAACTATCTTGTTAGAACTCAACACTCAAATCATATATTAAATAATATTCGTTTTTATACAAAACACGATAACTGAACGTGTATGTTACAGGAATGGAAGAAATACTTTGTTTTGGCTTGATAATCGGCAGGGGTCGAATATTTTTAAGAACAAGTTTCATAAACTTGTTTGTTCTTGATACAAATCTAGAGGCGTGCTTATCAGATCGGTCCTCAAAAACACAGATTTTGGAGGCGTTTGTGAGATATCCACAAAACGGTGTTACGGGTTCTCAATGGGATGAGCTGCGAGAAATCATCCAGGAGGTGGTTTTATTCGATTCGTCTGGTTCTTACTCGTGGGATCTAGATATCAAGGGAGAATTCTCGATTGCCTCAACGAGAAATTTTATTGATGTACACACTTTGGAGTATTCTAACATTCCTACTAAATGAAATTCTTATGTTCCAAAGAAGGTTAATGTTCATGTTTGATGGGTTGAAAGAGATAAGCTTCCCACTAGATTGAATTTACATGATAAAGGCTTTGAATTAGAGTCATTACTATGTCCTATTTGTTTCCAAATTGGTGAGTCTGCTAGACATCTTTTTTCTTATTGCAATATTTTGACCCCTATATGACATTCGATAGTTAGGTGGTAAAATATCCATGTTCCACCTCATGGTATGGTTAATATGGTAATTTTGCACTTTCCCTCGTGAATTGTAATTAATTCCATCCTAACTTTCAAGGAATTCACTTTCCTTCGTTTGGTGGATTTTTTTTTTGGAATCTAATTTCATCTTAAAAAGTTGAACCAAAAACTAATTTTTTTTTTCATTTAAGAATTCAATTTCATCTCAAAAAGTTAAACCAAACACTAAAATATGGTGAAATTGGATTTCAATTCCCTATAATTCCATTACATTCCACCGAACCAAACAACATTTTAGTTGTCTTCTCATACTTTTTCTAATATAAGAAAAACTAGGAAGAAAAAAAAGGTACAAAATCCACAAAATGAAGTATAATAAAGGGACTAAATCTGTAAACTACTATATATGTCTCTAGAGGTGGACCCTAATAAAATAAAAGGAAAACAAAATGTGAAAAACACAAAGATTATGTAGAATCTTATGATGTGGTGACAACCACCAGAATACATCCCGCCTACTGCTGTTCAACTTTTATAAATTCCTCATTTACATCATTCCATAATTTTATTTATTTTTCATAAATATAAATATTTTCTTGTCCATAACTCCAAAAAGAAGTCCTTTTTATTTCTGCAATTTCAGAATTTCTTTTCTGTTCCCATTTTGCCCCTCTCGTCTCGTCTACCTCGTCCAACTGAAACACCCCTGCTTCCTCCCACAGTGAAAGCAAAAGCGAAGCCCCACCTTCCACTGTGTGTTCCTGCGTGAGAGAGAAAGCTTTACCAACAGTGAAACCCTAGGAGAGGAGCGTATACAGAGATTCTGAGTTCTCATGAAGGGTTACAGAGACAATGGTGGTGCTGCTGGTGGTTTTGGAGCGCGAAATAAGACAGTGTATGACGACGTATTTGGTGGTCCGCCGAAGTTTGGAGCCACAACTCTTCCTCCTCGCCTTGAGGATTACACTGAGATTTTCCAAGGCTTTCACGCCTCCCGAGGCTCTTCAATTCCTATTCTAGATCTTCCGCCGCCGTGTAACGAGTCCGGCGACGTTTGGTTTGATTTACAGAGCTCTAAGCTTGATTACTCTGAGGTTTTCGGAGGCTTCAACGGCCTCGATTTTGCAGTTTCGTATGAAGAATTGTTTAAAATCTCCAAAGTTGGGGATGGTGATTCCTCGGATGATGTTTGGTATGCAATAATTTACATTGTTTATATGTTCAGTTGATTACCTTCGTTGACATGCTTTAATTCACATAATCAAAATACAAGCATCCGATTATCATTTAAATGATTGTTGCTATGCTGCTTTGAACTGAATTTGTGGTCCGTAGAAGTATTTTTGTAGATTCATCGTATCAAGGACCTGTTCACAAAGAATTCTCTGATAAAGCACTGAACAAAACTGTTGATCTTACATTGCTTTATAACTAGGCCTCTGTGCTTGATAGGAGAAGTTTAGTTGCAGAATTGGTGTTGATTCCTGGCTGTAGGTGGTAGGTGGTAGGTGGTAGGGGCCGAGTTGGTTTTGAGCTTTATTATTTGACCTAGGGACCAATAACATGATTCTCATTGAACCTTCTGTCATTATCTGTAGCTTCATCAGACAAATATCATGAACTTTATTAGGGTAGTCTTCTTTTAATTGAAGCAGGATAAATGAAGTTTATGTGCATTCATATAATTTGATAGTTATCATCCTTTTTGTCATACATATCCATTTCTTCAAAGATTTGTTGTAATACAACCAAGAATAATCTCAAATCATGGCAAATTTTTTCTTTCTTTTCTTGTGGTAGGACTCCTGCTGAAAGTGAAACATTGTCAGATGAATTAGATCCTTATGCCTCAATGGAGATGAATCAACACGTATCCACTGAAGACCCCATTGAATTATTTGGTGTACAATTACAATCCGAGCCTAATTTTGAAGCAGAAAAAGATCTGATCATAAATGATTCTCAATTTCTTGATGTCCCTAATGAAATAGAAAATGAGAAACTGTTCTCATTGGATAACAATAACAATGATGATTCTTCAAGTAATCATTTTGGTGGAGTTTCAGAAAGGAAACAACTCAAGAAATCTCTTTCACAACCCTTAGATAATGTTTATGACACAGAAAGATATAAACCACATCTTTCTGTATCTGATCTCAGCCTTAAAACTCAGCCTTCAAACTTACCACCACCCTCAAGGCCTCCACCTGTCTTATCATCAAAAAAGGGGAATTCAAATTCAAAACTGAAAACTTGTAAAACATTTGCTTTTGAAAAGATGAGAGGTGACAGATCACCACCTTACTTTGATGTTGAGATAGATGCAAGTTCTTCTGCTGCTGCAGATGCTGCAGCCATGAAAGATGCAGTTGAGCAAGCTCAAGCAAAGCTCAGAAGTGCAAAAGAGTTAATGAACAAAAAGAAAGAGGCTCTTCAAATCCATTCAAAGAATAATGTATCAGATAAAAAGGAAAGGGTAAATGGGGATGAAAGAGAAAGAGAAACACACAATAAAAAGATTTCACTTGAATCATATGAGCAGAAGCAAGATTTTAATTTCAAGAATGTAAATGGATTGAATGAGGAAGATGAACACATAAAGGAAGATACTTTAGAAATTAAGACAACAAGTGAAGCTGATGAAAATGAAAGTGAATCATATGAAAACTTGATAGAAATTCAGCTAAAAGATAATGATATGAAACCTGGAGTAAAACTAGTAGAGGAATTTTACAATAAAACCCCTGATGAATGGGAAGAGTATGATGTTGCTTCATTTCAAGAAGCTTTTGAGAAAGAACATGAGAAGGAAGTAAAGGAATCTGAAGAACAAGTGGGCCCACCTGAAATAGTAATAACATTAACACCTCAAAGTGAAGAAGAGAGTGATGATAAAATATCAGAATTGAATCACAATCATGAAGAAGATGAGAATGAGATAACACAAAATGCTGACGTGGCAAATGAGACAACACAAGGAAGTGAGAAAAAGGAAATTGAAAAGGAAGAGGAGTTGACCGAAGAAGTTGAGTCAAAGTCAAACACAGAGGAGATTTCAGATTCATCGGATGTGGTTGACCAAGTGGACAACGAGTTGACTTCCACAAACAATTTCCAAAATGTGAATGAAACATCATCAATGGAAAAGAATGATGAGAAAAACAAGGAAAGAGAAAAGTTGGAGAGAGAAAGAGAGAGGATGAGAAAAGAAGAAGAAGAAAGAGAGAGACAAATAGAAAGGGAAAAGGATCGAATGGCAATTGATAGAGCAACACTTGAAGCACGTGAAAGGGCGTTTTCGGAAACTAAGGAAAGATCAGAAAGGGCGGCTGTGGAACGCGCAACAGCCGAGTATAGACAACGGGCTTTGGCTGAGGCTCGGGAGAGATTAGAAAAAGCATGTGCTGAGGCTCGGGAAAGGTCATTGGCGGAAAAGACGATGGAGGGTAGGCTTAGGGTAGAAAAAGCAACCGCTGAGGCACGTGAAAGAGCCGAAAAATCGGTTGATGATAAGTTTAGTAATTCTAGAAGTATGGGGTTAAGATATCCGAATCAAAATGCATCATCTTATAATAATGGTATGAGAAGGGCATTTTCGTCTTTTGCATATGTTACAGATAAAAAAGATACCCTTTTGCCATCTTTTTGGATAAAGACAAAAGTTTGCAACTTTTTGTCCTATTGACATTAGACTGCGATTGTGATTGCAATACAAAGGTTCTGTCATGTGTCATGTTATGTCGTGTCATAGTCCTGTCGTGTCTTCAGCTTCAAGAATATTCAACATATGAGAAGGGCATTTATGTCTTTTGCATATATGACTGATAAAAAACAAAACCCTTTTTCCATCTTTTTGGATGAGACAAAAGTTTGCAATTTTTTGTCCTATTGACATTAGACTGTGATGTGATTACATTGCAGTACAAAGGTTATGTCAGGGACTCCTATCGTGTCATGAGCTTCAAAGAGTATTCAAATTTTTTTGTTTTATCTAATAAAAAAGATTTTTTATTTTATTTTATTTTATTAATACGACGGATAAAAAGCAAAATTCTAATGGGACAGAAGTTTGATCTGTACCTGTTCTGTCTTGTCATGTCTGTCTATTATTGACAAAAATTTGAAACTTTTATATTCCATTGACATCTGTCCAATGCAAATACAAATACAGTACAGCCTGTCATGTCATGAAGCTCTGACAAAATTCAGTTTTATTTATTTATTTATTTATATTTATAAAAAGTGATTTTTTAATAATATTGTGTTGTGTGTAGGAGGTGAAAGCGAATCACCACAACGGTGTAAAGCGCGCTTAGAAAGATATCAAAGAACAGCTGACCGAGCAGTATGTTATTTATTTTTTTTATATAAATATAAATTTCTTTGGATTTTTATAAATTATAAATTATTATAAATATGGTGTAGGCAAAAGCTTTGGCTGAGAAAAACATGAGGGATCTTCTTGCCCAAAAAGAACAAGCAGAAAGAAACGTAAACATCTTTAAACTTTATTTCTCTTATAAATTTCTAATTTTTTTTTTTTTTTTTTAATTTTTATAATTTCTTATTTTGTGTTATTTATTTTCAGAGATTGGCTGAAAGTCTTGATGCTGAAGTAAAAAGATGGTGTAGTGGGAAACAAGGAAACCTACGTGCATTACTTTCAACCTTACAATATGTATATAATATATCATCCTTATTATTTATCTAATAATAATCAATGATTAAATTATTTATTTATTTAATAAATAATTTTCAGATTCTTGGGTCGGAAAGCGGGTGGCAACCGATTCCTTTAACCGAAGTTATTACTACTGCCGCTGTAAAAAAGGCTTACAGAAAAGCAACTCTCTGTGTGCATCCAGACAAATTACAACAACGTGGTGCAAGTATTCAACAGAAGTATATTTGTGAAAAAGTTTTCGATCTTCTCAAGGTTTGTTATTAATATAATAATATTAATATTAATATTAATATTAATTAATATATTTTTGGTTATATTTTGGAAGTGAATTGTTTTGTGGGTGGTGTGTAGGAAGCGTGGAACAAGTTTAACTCTGAAGAACGTTAGATGTGAAGGATTTGTGGTTTCTTGAGTTGAATCAAAAGCAAAAGGAAGTAATTTTATATATTTTTGTCACGTGGTTTTTTCTATATTCTATAATGTATCAGTAATTCAGTATCAATTCGTTATTATTACCGATCTACCACTTGAATTGATTTGACACGTGTGGGTTAAAATCATATAAACGAGGATCAGTTATGAAGAATAGGGGCGATATATCTATTCTTAATTAATGGAAGATATCGATTCAATGAGTATGGAAGAATCTTTAAACCCTTTTTTGTGAAAATAAAAATGCCAAAAGTCATCTGTTAGATCGTTGAAGGTTGTTGTGTCTATGAAACCTTCAATAATGTTGCAAACAGTCTTTTGGAAGCAATAGAGCACGAATCTTGGTTAAAGAATAATAAATGTGAAGGAGGAAGCACATGAAATCTTGAGGTTTAGAAGATGTTGTTTGAAATTCTATTGTCGATGGACATCATCATATTAGTGTTCAAGTTGAAAAAAAAAATAGTCGTGCATGTTGATATAGGGGGTTTCAATATTCCAAGAATGATGTCTTTTTGCACCTATGGCAATATTTTTTTAGGCTGGTTGCAAACAAATAAAGACCGATGATAAAGCCCTTAGAGAACTTATCTTTGGCATCCCACTTGATATCTTTAATTTCTTGCTGATGCAAAAATGAAAAAAGAATTATAGAAATACACAAATTTAGTCAGAATCTTTAACATTTGTCAAGAAATAACCAAAAACTTAAAGAAATGACTCAAGTAACTAGGTCTGGCAATGAAGCGGCTTTAGAGCGGATTGACCTTGTTCAAAACCCGTTAAGCAATTTTCAAATGATGATCCATACCCGACTTGTAACCCGTATGGTTTTGAATGATTAAACCCATACCCTTATCCAACGGATCAACAAACTTCAACCATTTTACCTGACCCACTTACATTATTAAGTTTAGACTATAATTATTCATTAAAACATAACTGGATTCGATTTCAACGATTCTAGAGTTGATTATATTAGAATATTAGAAAACAAACCTGATTGTGGATTGTGGAATGTGGAATGTCGATCACTTGATTGTAGCATTTTCTTCTTATTCTTGAATCTTGATTGAAGCCCTTTTCTCTTGCTCTTGAGTATTGATTGTGGAATATTGATTTCACAGTCGATTTCAAAGATTATAGAGTTGATTATATTGGGAGTCAACTGTAATTGGTCATTTGGATTAGGAACTCAACTAAGAAGTTGAAGTGGAACGTCTAACAGTCTAACTCCTTGACTCATGTACGTGAAGAATCATAAATGTATTATAACTTATTAATAACTAATTTATATTTCAAAATTTTAGATGGGACGGGTCATAAACAGATCAGATCGATAATGATCCCTACCCGACCCTTTTAATAAAAAGGTTAGCAGCTACGGGTCGTTAACGGGTAAACAAATCATAAAATATGATCAAAACCCATTAATTTTTGTACGGGTTTGGAGCGGATCAGGGTCAAAACCCGCTCCATTGTTAGGTCTACAAGTAAACAAAGAAATTGCAGATGGGACTTCATGGGCTTACCTAATGTGCTTCCACTTTGGTAAGTTTATCTATGATTTAGTCAATAAGTATATTTCTTTTATTTTAGATTTTTGCCATTTTACAATTAGCGCAATCACAAGTGGCATATGGCCAACTGTGATTTCTTCTCACCAAAACTACGATTTCATTTTTTTAAGTCTATAAGAGTTTGTATAAATCTTTAATCTACAAATTGTGTATTAAATACTTGTAAAATTGCAAATGGGAGTCCATGTCCATGTGTGATTTTCTCTCTTCGAAATACAAGTTTTAAAAGAGCATTAACTACAAGGTTTTGTAAATACGATGATGCTTTAAACAATATCTTATAAATACAAACAAAATAACTAAATATTAGATCACTTATGACATTATTAGATGGAAATCCAGTTTCAGTCATTAAAGAGAATTCCTAGAGCTTGAAAATGTGAGAACGAGTTCAAATTTTTTTCTTAGGTGCTAAATATATTGAGTTAATGAACCACGAAATCGCAACACATTAACCAAATTCACAGGCGAGAGCTGTCATCTTTTTTTTTTGTAGTTTTTTTAATTTTTGGCTATTTCTTGAAAATTAATTAGGATTTGGCTAAATTTGTCTTTTTTTTTTTCTCGAGGATTATGAAAGATAATAAAGGTAATGATAATTGGTATTACCGAAGATCAAGAAAACATTGAAGTATGTTTTCTAGCATAGTTCCTTTCTTTTTACACATTAGAGTATCATGCTCTTGCATTAATCCATTATGTTTGTTTTCTAGAATTTCCTTAGCGTACTTCCATTGAGAGATGAACACTTCTCCATCCTTTTGTTCTTTCTCCATGCCTAGAAAGTAACCCATTTCTCCTTGACAATGTTGCAACAAATCTAAACTTATTCTTGACAGTTGACACAAAACAAGCTAAACATCAACGGATTCTCAAGAACACGAAAACTAGGACCTATTTCACAAAAAAAACAAGATTTTAGTACATTGATCTCTTCTTGACCCAAAGCTTTCCAAAATCCGATTTGGCTAAGCTTGACCTACCTTTATAAAGATTAGGCCCTTTTGGTGATAAACCCAAATCCGATCTTGTAAGAACGATTCTTCTCTTGCTTACACGACTTCTCCACTTCTGGTAATTTACTTCTAGCCCATTAATGCAACCAAAACTAAAAAAATGTTAAGCTTTTCGCTCACAGTTATTTAATAAACACATTCAAATTATTATAACACATAAAGTATTCATATAACACTAGATGTCAGACCTATGTATTACATAAATTTATTTAAAAAAAATTAAATATGAAATTCTAAACATTTGAAGTTTGAATTTGTAAAAAAATGAGAAAAATATCGAATTATTAAAATTAAAGTGTTTCTTTTTCTTTTAATTTTTTTTATACTGGAATGTCCGATTTGTCACCCCTACATTTGGATACAATTGTTAAGTTAATACGTCTTAGAAAAATAATTTAAATAAATAAACAAAGGAAACTAATGATACTTTAATTTAGTAATTTTAAATTTAGAAGGAAATTCCATTAATGAAAATAATATGCGTTTATTATTACATTTAAATATTATGTGAAATTTAAAAAAATTTGAAAACTATAAAATGACATTTGAAAAAAAAATAAAATTAATATAATAAGAAAAAACCATGCGACACAATACATTAGAAGAGTACAAGTGACAAAATTATATTCATTTATTAGAAAAAACCATGCGACACAATATATTTGATGTAATTCGACAACAAATACATCAATTTACTGTTTAAAGAAAAGAATAAATACATCAACTTACTTCTTAAAAAAAAGAATAAATACATCATTTTACTGTTTTTTGACATCCCTAATAATCGGTAAGTATAAGTTGAAATATTTCTAAACATGTCATTATATGTTAACCTTTTTTTAAAGAAAAGACTAAATACATCAATTTACTATTTTCCCAAAACTTGAATAAAAGTGTCATTCTAAACTTCTCTAAAGTATTTATAATCAACATTTGATAAGAGTGAATGATGATAATGGCATATTTATGGTTTCACACAGCGTTAACCATTATTTTAAATTCCTCATAAACAGTAGTTTTTTTAATTTATTTTTATACTTCTACATTATAGATATTATTTAAATATGCATGTCCACATCCTGTATCGAAGAGGATATTTACACATGAAACGAAATAGAAACAAAAATGTGGACGTGCCGGAGTGGTTATCGGGCATGACTAGAAATCATGTGGGCTTTGCCCGCGCAGGTTCGAATCCTGCCGTTCACGATTTTTAATATCTGAGTAAAATGAAAGCCTTTTTACCGAATATCATAAATAGTGATATTACAATTAACATATTTGATTTCTTTTTATTTTATATATAAAAGGGATTTTATAAGAAAATAAAAGGACATAACCTTACAAAAGGGCTTTTAATATCATCTATATGTTAAACGGCATATTGCATATTTTACGTGACATATATCGTAATGCATTGTCTACTCAAGAAGACATCCAGCACAAACTGAAGAAACCCCACAAATCCCAATTCACCACGCCACAAACCCCGAAACAGATGGTGTCATATCATTGAAGAAACACCAATTGAGATCATGTAACTTGTAAAGCAAAGAATGCCATGCACTCAGAATCATGGTGTCAATAAATGAA